CGGAACACCCGTCCAGAAATTTCTGGTACTTTTTACGCAAAGTGAAAATTTGAAGATTGAACATTTTATTAAAGCCGCTGGAAATTTCGGAGAGAAATTTGTGAACATTTTTCCAAGAATTTAGTATGTATGCACATGCGTATAACTATATGTATGAAGTATGTATACTCTATTTACATACATATGTAGGTATGTTTGTCAAAACAGAAAGCACCGCCTAAGTGAGCGTAAAGTTTTGTGGCAAGTTTTCCATTTGACGCATTCACACACACAAGCGTCTGTCAAAGCCCAAAAACTTGCATTTTCAAATATGCATATATATACACACTTACGCATGCTTGCGTTTGGAAGTTCGACAGTGTCGTTGGCATAATGGTGGGTGGCAACACTTGAACATGGGGGTGTGCGTGTTGTTGCAACACTCAGAAGTCACTGCTGGTGCAAGTGTAAATTGAAGTGTATAAATGCAAATTTATGTAAATATGTTTCCATGGTTGTGTGTTTGTGTGTTTGTGCGTGTACAACAACAACAACAACAACAACAACAACAACAACCAAACAGCTAGCTAACACTTTCCCTTGGCTCGTACCTACTTACACAAAGTTTCAGCGAAATTATGACACTTGCAACACCTTTCATGTTGCACAAAGTTTATGCCGGTCGACAAGCTGCACGTTAGTTAGTTATAATTAATTTGAAACTACTTTTAATTGTTTAAATAATGAAAAAGGTAATTTACTGCCTGATGACACGGTCACTGACACATGCAACCACTCAGTGGGTCAGGAGGTGAGTGCAGCGCCATTTGGGAGCAATAAAGAACGCATAAATTGAAATTTAATCTGTGCAAGAGAATAACTTTGGGTTCATGCTCTTTAAAAGCGATTAACCGATGGAAAATTGTATAAACAGAGTAAGCGGGCATGTAAATATGATTAATGTTGACAATTTAAAAAAAAATAAAAATTCAAAAAAAAAAATCGTGTCCAATATCTCAGTACATAAATATTAAAATGAAATATGCAAAATTAATGCATTTGCAGGTTTGCTCTTTTCGCACGCACCTATCATTCATACATACATACATACATACATATGTACATATATACATTCATATGCAAATTTATGTACACATATACATATGTATCTACGAGCGTATGTTTATATGTACATACATATGTATGGCTGCATGCATATAAGCTCATATTGCATACCTTTTGTTTATTTATTTTTATGCAAATATACGCAAATATTTTTTTACACGTCTGCCATTGTTTGCACAAAGCCATGCCACTGTCGTCACAATAAACCGCAATTATGTAACGGTATGTACATACATACATATGTACATATGTACGTAGTGTCGCCACCATAATCGCATTTGAGCTGAGGCATTGTGGTCACATTTACTGAAACTGCTCAGCCAACTGAGGCCACTGTTCGCCCACACGCCACGAATACAAACACACCCACACATGCGCTGACACATATGCCAGCATTCCAATCAACTTCAATATATTCAGTTGCATTCAATTATTTTGGCATGCGAGTTAATATATTTGCAGTAAAAATTAATAGCAACGAAGAGGCTACAGGCTAAAACATACAAACAAATTGAAATTGCAGCTGCGACAGAGACGAGCAGGTGCATTTTTTTACCTTTTTTTATGCTCATTACCTACCACATTAATACATACATACATATGTGCATGTATGTGCATACAACAGTATGCAGTTATTTCTGTGCGTGGAAGATACAGATGCATAATTATGTAAATATAATTGAATTGACTGAATATTAGCACTTACAGAGTATAACCACATACCTGGATACATTAGGGTGGAAACAGTTTTTTTATAGTATTTTATAACAAAAAAAATATACATATAATATCTGTTAAAGGAGTAGTCTAAGTCTAGCGAAAATTGAGACTTGCTCATAGGTTGTGCGGAATTATTCCAAGGAATCTATTCGAAATAAGCAATTCATGGGAATGAATACATCTTTCTTTCGATTTTTCAATAATTCCGAAGATAAGAATATATGTATTTTCAAATTTGGGAAATGTTTGTCATAAATGAGAACTGAAAACTAATCTAAAAGTTTCACGACCCTATTATAGGCAAAATACTCGAGAATTGCCCCATAAAGTTGAAATTTAAAAGAAGTGGGCCTTCTGTTTAATTTAGTACATACATACATACACACATTACTTTTGTAAGCACTTGTTTACGCTTTTATAATCGCGTTTGTCCGCAATATTAATTAAATTTTACAGTTTTTTCAATGAGTTGGAAAAACGACTAAACGGTATACGTATGTACATACATAAATACAAACATATATATATATATATATATATATATATATATACAAATGAATATTTATATTGTTTATAACATGCGATTCATACATATTTATTTCATACAAAACAATATTTATGCTTTTGAAAATGGATTCCAATTAAAATACATCCGCCTAAAGCATTTACCGACAATTACTTACATACATATGTATGTATTTACGCGTTCTACAAGCTCGTTTCTTAGAACTGAAATGGCGGTGGACGCAATGAGCTTCCACGTTTTTTGTTATAACTATGTAGGTATGTAGATATTTCAATTCACAAATAAAATCCAACTAAAAATGAACATTTGTCTCTAGGGATTTTTTTAAGAAGTGTTACTTTAGCGAATAATATACATACATTAGGGTGGGTAAATTTTTTTTAACTATAAGCGTATAGCACAGGAGGATTTTACGAGTAATTCGAAGCGAATTCGCCGAAGAAACCAAATTGCGAAAATAGGTTTACTTTATTTTACTGTAGTGCAGCATGCTATGAGAGGTTTTTGGTATTTCTGGACGTATCCTTTACCAAAACATCCCCCAGGCGGCGCAACAGTGAAAATTTTCACATTTTCTTACGTGTTAAAATAAAAAAACGTATATTTTACTTATCGTTGAAAATTTGTTTCATGCAACTAAAATTCATTACAAACTACATGCATATACAGAACTACATGCAATACATTAGACTGCATTGCAAAAAAATGTTGCGGTCATTCTGCCGGGATTACAAAATGTATTATATTTGTAGATGGCAACCGAAATATTCCGAAAAAATATTAATATTTACGTGAGCTGCACCGCTTTGAAAATACCTCCAGAAATGGAGCTTTTTATGCATTAAGGTAGTATCATCACGAAATTAAAAAAAAAAAAAATACCCTCAGGTGACAGTTTAAGCTTAATAATTCTGCATAAAATAAAATATTTGAAAATCTTTTCAACGGAATCGTAATAATGAGACTTTTGATGCTGTTTATTTCAATTTTTTTTTTTAAATTGGTTTAAGAAAAAAAAGTTGTAACTGTCCATAGCCCTAACCATATCGAGCCCTAACCGAGAAAATAGTTTAAGATTTTATTTTTTTGCAGAAATGCGCTAGATGCTCTAATTAATTTAAGAAAAATCGTTTTCGTTTGCTTATGTATAGCGCAATAACTTTTAGTGAAATAAAATGCGAGTTTAAATATGAGTTAAATTTTAATATAAAAAGTACAAGTTTTAGGTAGCTGAAAAATTCTCTCGATTTTAGAATTTTTTGTTTATATTGGCAGTGTTGAACATATTCCGCCATGTAGGCAGATACGCTTTATGAAAAATGCTCAACACCGCCAACAAAGAAAAATCAATTCAAAATACTTCTGATGTACGATTTCTAGGATGTGATTACGTGTATTAATATTGCCAATTATCTAGGATATTCAAAAATAAAATTTTTAAATGATATTTTCAGAGCCCATTCGTCTTATGCACGAAAAAATTTACTCTTTTTTAATTCCAAAATTTCCAATTTTTTTAATTTGATACCCACATTATTATTCTACATTGCGCTGAATTTAGAAATTTTTTAGTTAATCATTCTTTGAAATTTAAGTCCTTTTAGAAAATATCCTGACGTCAGATAGAAAGTCTAAAAATGCTGTTTTACTACAGATATTTGGGAAATAGTTTCGCGGGTATATCGTTTTTTTGTGTGTAAAATTTCAGAGGCCCGATTATTTCATGGTGGAATTTTAAAAAAGCCATCAAAATTTTCGTAAGAATTATAAATGTCTTTTGATAACAATTATGTGCGAAACAATTTTTTTAAGTCATCGATAGCTATTATTTTAAGGCTTATATAATAGAAGTCTTTTCATAATAATAATCAGCGAGATAAATATTTTAAAGTCTTCAAAGATTTTTATTTTGAGACTTATATTATAAAAGTCTATTGATAATAAATATGAGTGCGAAAAAATTTTTCATATATAGTCTCGAACGGGTCACAAACCAAACCCCCACCTAGCCCTGAACTGGTCCCCAACTAATCTTGAAATGATCCTGAACAAGTTTCGTCTTTTAAAACTTAAAAAATTGTTTCGCGCTCATAATTATTATGAAAAGACTTTTATAATATAAGTCTCAATAAAAGTCTTTAAACACCTTAAAATATTTATCTCTCTGATAATTATTATGAAAGGACTCTTTAAATATAAGTCTTAAAATAAAAGTCTTTGAAGACCTTAAAATATTTATCTCTCTTAAAATTATTATGAAAGAACTTTTATAATATATGTAAGTCCTTGAATAATAATTATAGATGTATCATAATATAATAATTATTGATTGATTTTTATTATTTTCTCTTATAATAGTTATGTCTCTGTAAATATTACTGTCGCATGGTGTAACAGACAAAAGAGGATCTTTAAAAATTCTGAGTATACAGAATTTCTTAGCTTTATGTGATGTATGTATGTGAGTATATTCCCTTGGAACCAGGTATGTTTAAAAAATCGTATTTTGTTAATTAAGTTTTAAGGGAATATACTTAATCAAAACAATTTTTATGACTCTTCTACTCAGTATTACATTTTTTAAATGACAGAATAAATTGGAAATATTTTATAGAAAAGAAACTTACCAATAAGATGCAGAATTATAAAATCTCGTTCGCTCGTTCAGTTGCACAGCTTTCCAATGCATTCAACGGGTAGTATTCAACACAGTTAGAAACAAAACAAAGCGCAAAATTCACAGTAAAATACTTAATATGCAAATGCGAAATCGCTCTGTGGGCAAATGACACAAAAATGACAAGCGACAGGCGACAGGCGACATTGCCAGTGCTGGTGTCAGTGTCTATGTCAGTGGCAGTGGCAGCGGCAGCGGATTGTGAGTTAAAAGTGTCAGTGCAACAGTTGCTTTCCATATGTCCCATTCACACTGCTATTGTTAAAGTTACTGCTGCTCGAGGCGAATGCAACTGCTGTTGGCACAATTGGGAATTTCTCAGCTATGCGGGCCAAAAGTGTGCACACCTCTTTTATACATATACAGTGTTGTGCAATATAATGGATGCATTGTATAAGAAAAATGTTTATTCATGGCCTGGTTATTTCATCTTTTTATGACTGATTTACTGCCTTTTTGTTACTTACATATAAAAGCACATCTCTGTAATCGAAAACAATTAATCATTTAGTTAACAGTTTAGTTAGGAACACCTTGTTAGCATGGATGTCACTCACGCAGAGCTCCGCATTTCGTTGCGCTGGAATACAGGTAGGGCATAGTGTAACGAGAATGAGGGCATATTTTTCGGGTTCTACAGTTTGGAAAAGGGGCATATATATGTACATAACTATAAGGGCGTGTTTTTGGGGTCCGGAGGTTTCGATAAGAAAGAGGCATATTGTTCTGGTTCTGCAGTTCTCCATTACCATATGGGGAATTACGAACACAGCTAACTACAGGGAAATGTTGGAAACAAAAGTGATAGCAACAAACAGAATGGAGAGAAGCATGTTGGGTGTTTCAGAATAATAATGAAACCAAACATACACATTGAAGGTGATCAAACATTTTGTAGAATAGAATCGAGACCAAACTTGTATTACCTGGCCGAGCAGTTAATTTCAATTCCAGTAAAAGTAGTTTGAAATTAATTTAAAGCATTGTCTTTTGGTAGGCACTTTGGTAGCATAAGGAGAGATCCTCCTCTCAAACATGATATCATAAGCATATGCGGCAACTGTTCCATAAAATTCGAGTGGCACTCAAGCCAACAAGATACTTAGTAGTTCTCAAATATAAGACATTCCAAACTGGATTGTTTCCGTTTTTTTTTTTTTTCAAAAATAAAAATAAAGAATAATTTGCAAATGTTTTGAAAATGTTCATTAATAAGTAACCAAAAAGGCAGTCGATTCAGAGAAATTGATCACGGCAATCGTTGTAGCGCTAAAGTTTTTTTTATAGAGCAGTTCCCTTGCTTTGAACACCACTGTGTGTTTGAATTTTGTTGTTTAGGTGCTAAGTTGCTTACCGCTGTCATGTGAATGCTTTCCATACACAGCAACTGAGCATCGAATGTTTGGTTTTGTTTTTGCCACTACAAATTTTTGTCGCTGTTACTGACTATCAATTTCTGCCGCCAAAGCGCTGCTATTTTGCTCTGCGTTTATTGCATTTGTATATGTGAATTTGCATTTTTGACAATTTTCTTCTTTTTCCAATTCAATTCAGTTCTGCTGAGTGCTCTCTGGTGTCAATGATTGCTCTGTAAAGTAGGAGAATATGATAAACATGAAAAGTGCACCAAAAAAAAAAGTACAGCACAGAATAAGAATATGAAAATTACAGTAAAACGGTTCAAATATGCACTTTCGATTTCTGTTTAATGAAAAACCAATCATAAACAGTTTTCAGTTCAAAAGTTGCATTTAAGTGGCCTGGCCTCAACTGGTATATGCAGTAAGAAAGGGTTAAATGTTAAAAAAGGGGAAGTCTTGCAGTAGCTTATTTAAACATTCGAGAAAATTGCTTCAAAAATATAAGGGTTGCAATTGCAGAAAACAAGTGAAGAAGTGAAGACTTATCGCAGCAAATGGCTTACTCAAGGCTCAAAACACCTATTTTCACATAAGTGTTCATTTATCAGATAAGTTCCAAGCTTAGCAGACCTTTTTCGAATTGAGATAAATTATTTTTGCAGAACTTATATATAATGTAAATTTGCAATAATATTTACTGGAATAATGACACTGTGCACGAAAATGAAGCTTTTGATTTTAAACAAGCCGACGACCTACCTAGTAAAGTCAATTCTGGTGCGCTGAATCTAGTGGTGATAGTCCTTTTTCTAGGTTAGGTCATTTAATCGAGTAAGATGAAACTCCTGCTTTAGGCGGCACCCGTTTTTTGAGTGAAATTTTACGATTTTCAATTGCGCTGAAAATTCGCATTGGAGTGTTTTTCAATGCAAGGTATCCGAAGTTATCCTACAAATATTTAGAACAGCATACCAAAAAATATCCAAAAATTAACGAAAACGACCAAAAACGTTGATATGTATGTACCTACTTTTTATTAATTTGTTTATTTTTTTATTCATTTTACTTTTTCATTATTTTGACGTTTGTCTTTTTCCACTCAAATATATATAATTCAACCAAGTTTAAAGTCAATACAATTTGAAATAGGTGTAATTATCATACGATATTTTGGAGTTTTTGTTCAAAATTGATTTATTTTTTTTCGTGTTATATTGTTCCTTCGGTGATGCCGTTTTTCGTTTCTTTGTATGAAAACTATTTTAAATATTTGTCGTATCACAAAATAATGTAAAATTCGGATTCCTCGCTCCAAAAACCTCTCAACTTGAATTTTCAGAACTTTCGAAAATCGTAAGATTTTGCTCAAAAACGGGTTCCGCCTAAAAATTTTAAGTTGATATTATTTTATTAAATGACCTAACCTAGAAAAATTACTAAGTATTTGAATTCAGCGTACCCGACTTGACTTTACAAGGTTGTTCCTTTTTTCGACTAGCACAGTGTATTTAATTTTGAATTTTGCCTGGATAGTCTTTCAAAAATATTGATGAGGTTCCAGAATTCGCATCTGCTTAGATAAAAATTCCATTTGGCTGAAAGAAATTTTCTTACAGTAGGTGACAGACCACGATATAGTTGACATATGAGACCAACAACGCCAACCAGTATCGATCGTTGATCGATGGTATATTTCGTGCAACAAATTTCTAAAGTTTGTTCTAAAATTGAATACCCGAAAACATGAAAGATTTAGTCCTCCTTGTGACTTCAGCGAGCCTAAGCGGCTTCAGCTCGTGTTTAATTGTTAAAGGTGTGAGGTCAAAACTCTTATATATAACTTACAATCTTTTTAATTTTTCTTTTTTTTTGTTGTCAGAAATTCATTATGTGGAGGAATAAAACAAAAACAATACCAGACAATAAAGGCATATGCTAATGTAGCACTCTTGTTCAAAGGCTTTTAATACTTGAAGGGCAATAACCCTTACAAATAATATACATAATGACAACTTTTCTATGCTTTCGTGCATTGGCCTTTTTATTTGTGTACATATGTATGTATGTAATGGCTACATTTTTTTTTTTTTTTTGATTTCTTCTCATGCATTATTTTATCTTTATTTACCCTCAAGTCAACGTTTGAATGGAATTTACCGAGAAAATAATAATTAGCCCTCTATGTAGTTAAGTGCTCAAGGTGCCATTAGCAAGTACTCAGTAACTCATTCATATGCATGGCTATACATTAGTGACTACTAAAAGCATGCATAGAGTAAGCATGTAAGTATTTAGTAAGCATGTAGGCAAGCGTGTTTCTAATGCAACAGTTTTGTCAGATTTTCATTACTTGCATGCATATTCATTGTTTTAAGTGGTTGACTGCAAATGCAAAATCTATTCAAAATTATTCAAATCTCCAAATAACTTGCAAATCCGTAAGTGCCATTACTATTATTAGGGCAAAGTTAGAAACTTCACCTTACTTAATATACGTATGAGCTTCTCATATGCGATACAATGCAACAATCGGTAAGACACGTAAATGTAGATTTTCGGCTTGCGCGCCTAAAAGTAGGCATGCTACAAGTGAATGCTTTGTATACTTTATACGACGAAACACCTGTAAATAAAAGGATTGTGTTGCAATTGTAGCTTTGGTAATTATGTAGGAAGTAGCTTCGATCAGACCCATCAGTTTATTTCCTTCGCGCTTACGAAGATTACATACAAATACACACACACATGTATATATGCTTGTTGCATTTACTTTCACACTTCGGTGCGTCGCTCGACTTTAAGCAAAAATGTAAAGGACTTGAGGAAATAGGTCATTTTAACATTTTCTTATTGGAGATTTCAAGGTCTAACTTATGACTACAACGTGGCGACGAATAACTGTAACCCCGGTTTTTTGAGAAATAAAAGGGTCATTTATAGGTTTTGCGAAACAAGTATTTTATTGTTAATTTTCCACAGATTTGACTATAGTTGTATTAATTTAATTTTAAATTGATAAGGATTATTTCCATTTGCTAGCAGTTTAAACTTTGAGAGAAAAGTTCAATTGGCACACAAGTCTTTTTCAGGTGAATTTTTTCTTAGGCTTTATATAAAAAAAAAAAAAAAAAAACACAAAAAAGAAAAAACTATATATGGTTTGGTCGAATGAATGGCCGTCCTAGTCACCAGTTCCGAGTCTATTCGATTTTTGAGTATCAGGCCTTATGTTGCACAAAAGGACGAGTATAGGGGACTCAAAATATAGAAAATTTGCCTATGGTTACACTGTTCGCAAATATAAATAAGGATTAAAATTTAAACACTAATTTATACAACTAAAGTAAAATCTGTGGAAAATTAAAAATAAAATACTTGTTTCGCAAAATCTATAAACGGCCCTTCTATTTCTCAAAAAAACCTGGGTAACAGTTATTCGTCGCCACGCTGTATATTTGCTGAGTAAAATTAAGCCAGATTCAAATTATTCAAACTGGTATCTTTTGTAGGTACACTGCTAATTCAATGAATTTCCGATAACTGTGCCTATAGGGGCTCGCTACAACTCAAAAATTTATATATCTCGATATAAATCCATAACTCGATAAAATCTGGATATTTCTATAAATTTCGATAACACGCTTAATTTTGATAACTCCTGATTTTTCGAAAGCTGTCGACAAAATTCGATTAATCGTTACATTCTGCACTTAGATAACCTTCAAATTTCGATAACTCGATCTATCTTGCAAATTCAAAAAAAAAAACTTCGATTCGTTAAATCGACAAGTTTCAGTAAATCAATAAATATCGATAGCTCGATTGTTGGCAGAACTCGATGCATTACGATAGCCCAGTAACTGTCCATAAATTTCGAAAACTAATTTTCTGTGTCTATAAATTTCGACAAATCAATAAATCAGTTTGAGTGGTTGCGATAACTCAATAAGCATGGAACGCTCGATAAATTTCGATTACTATAAACTTCGATGATTTCGATAAATAAATTTTTAATTATTGAATTTATTTCTATTCTTATCGAAAATTTTTAATAAATTGTACCTTAATTCTTATGTACTTCTCGTTGTAACCATTTTCGTCTTTATCTTCATTTTTTCCTTTACTTTTTTGTCTTAATCGTTACCATTTATTTTTCCATTAGCACATTTATCTTGATTAAAAATTTTAATTTCAAACATGAAGTAAAACCAATTGCGAAAACAACTCAAATTGAACAGGCTGCATAACAACTATACACAAGTACGGACGATTTTGGCCCTTATTTTCAACCAATTTTGAAACCTTCATCTGCAGAAAAATACCTTTCTAATGGCGTACGAAGATGAATGAATTTCAGTCAGTGTTAAATTCATGTTATGGAAAAAATCGTTTCGGCGCTGAGCTTTCACTCAGCAGTGACACTTTTCACACTTTTTTACGAAATTATTTCGGATTGTTGGTGGCCGTACGAAGGTGACCTACGCCACAGTGTTACGAATACCTGACTATTACCTCCATTATTATACACCTTTTAATTGGGATTCACTAGCACTTCGGATTCAATTCTAAATAGCAAACCTGTAAGCTGTAATTTGTATGAGCACATGTGCGTGGCATGTACATATGTGTACAATAGTCAAGCGAAAACCCCAAGGGGCAGATCAAAATGGGCAGCCAAGTGGTACATTTATCCGTATTGCAGTGTTGTTTTACCACGAGTAGCTGCAAACATACTTTATGTGTGCGCATTTACTTAATTGCTTACATACATATGTACAAATGTACTTACATATGTATTAGACATTAGAAAGCAGCAGAATGGTAGCCTGCCCTCATCCTTATTGCGTAGAAGCGTTACGCATGTTACAAGTTGCAAATTGGAAGCGCTGGCCCACCTTCATCAAATGCTCGACTTACAAAGCCAGCTTCACATTTTCATTTAACTGGCAATTGTTTCTACGAGTACACTGGCAACTACATACATACATATGTACATCTGCTGCATTTCTCTCTGCTGCTCCACAATGTTTGTATAAATTAGCGTTTTGTTTTTGCTTGGGGGGGGGGGCGGAAGTAGTTTGGTTCGGCAAAGCACTTATGCCAGTTACAGCAATTCAAATGCGTAAGTGTGTTAGTGCATTTGTTTATGTAAATACTTACACATATGCATATTTAAATACACGCATGTAGATATTTTATGTATGTATTTATTAGTACTACAAGCGCT